AAACAGTATTGGAGCCTGGAAGAGAATGCAGAGTCCTTGAATTTGCCATCTGTTGCTGGGCCACTGGAATACTGCATTGTCATTAAGAGATTTTATAATTCTTAGTTAACCCAACTCCAATCAAGTCCGTTATCCCACTGACCACATGATTTCTTAAATACCATTAGAGAACATTTTGAGCAAAATGATGAAGTTTTCTCAGCTTGTCCTTTATTCCAGATATCTTATAGCTTATGAATGAATTCCTTCTAGGGCTGAAAGAAGTATCTTTAAGAGATATCTTTTTAAAAGGGCATGGTATGTTATGTTACCATGGGGTCTGTTATATCATATATGAAACGCCAGGTTGCTGAATGAACGCTGTGGAAGTCTAAAGCAATTTCTTTTTGAACAAATACAAACTTACAAAAACCTGAGCTAGAATTACCTTCCATAAATGCTTGTACTGTTTTGTCCACACAATTATCAAAGTGCTGCAAAACCAGGATGATTTCATTGTTGCTCTTATTGGGAACTATTGCACGCACTGCATTTATCTGGAAAAAATGACAGGGTCATTTAATTTTAACATCAGCAGGTCAGCTGGCAACTGAGGCCTATTAAAGAGAATAACGCAGAGTGACATTTCATTTTTAGCAGTATGTATCACTCTCTAGTGTCAGTGAGAGTACATACAACCATCTCACAGGGAATGATTAATAGATAAGTGATTTAACAACACACAAAATTAATTTCAAAACTTAGAAAAGCAGAACATTTCTAGAAATAGAAGGTATGTGCTAGATTTTATTTCAAGAAAAGGGTGGTTTAATTTAGGTATCAGGAATTAATTTAGCATCAATTTTTAGCATACTGTAGAAAAAGGTGAAAAGTTTAATGAACCACCACGAATAACAACTGAGATTTTTTTACAGCTTTTTTCAAAACATTTTTACTTCATGTCATTTAATTGTATAAGACAATAATGGCAATTTAAATTATTATAAACTATTTCAGGCACACACAACATGAACACTCACTACATGACAGCCAGTTTAATAAAATAAAACAGATGCAATGAAGCCCCCATGAAGTTCGTCATAAATCCCATTTCCCTCCTCTCCACAGAGATTTCTGCCTTCAAGCTGGTGTTATTTTGATACATGTTTTTGCACTTTTATGATGTACGTAATCTATCCACAAGTAATATACACTATTGTTTTGCATAAATTTTATATCGTACAAGTCTATATTCAATTTGCTTTATTCATGTAACGCTATTTTTTAGTTTTCTTTGTGTTGATAAATATATCTCTTATTTAACTGCTACACTGCATTTCCATTATATACAGATAGCCAATTTATTCATTCTCCTGTTGATAGACACTTATATTGTTGCCAATGTTTGACTATTATGAAAAAGGCCTTAATGAACATTCCTATGCTTATTTGCTGCTGAATCCTCAGTGCCTAAAACAATGTTTAGCACAATGTAAGCAAAGAAAAAAATCAGGTCTTCTGTGATCAGTGAGAGAAATGTCTCTTATTGTACATATAACTACTAGCAGAATTCCTGAATAGGAGGGCATCTACAAATTCATTAGATAATGACAAATTTCTCTTTAAAATAAATATGCCAGTTTGTCAGATTTATTCCTAAAGTAATTTATAATTTTTGAGATTAAAAACATAATTTGTACTAACTACATATTGTTTTAATTTTTATATATCAATTTTACATCCAGCAACCTTGATGAACTCTTATTATTCCTAATAATTTGTTGCTTTCTTGTTTTTTCTATGTAGATAACTGTATTGACTATAAATTATAGCAGTTTTTTTCTTCCTTTCCAATCCATGTAATTTTCATTTCTTGTCTTACTGCACAATGTAAAATTGGTTATTTCTCCAAAAAGACCTGGTTCTTTTTGGTAGGGAGTGGTAGTTAGAAACCAGGATCTCAGAGCTAGGTGTGTTTACTGCTACTGGGGAATCATTATTTCTAGGTCCTTTCAGTGGACAGAGCTAGGAGATTTTGCTTTTTATAACACAAGTTCATACCAACATCTTCAATTCAAATATAATAAGATGTTTTCTTATATGATTTTAAACATGTATCTCTTTCCTCTAAACTAAGTTTTAGTTCCTAAAAATATTAAATGATTTACTCATTTGCTTTAGTCTATAATATTCATAAAATAATGTTATTAACAACACTATATTACTACAAATGACAAAATATTGAATAAAATTTAAGATTTATTTGCAACTCTTTTTGTCCTTTAAATATATCCCTGTAAACATGTACAGTAAGAATACTGTGTTCAAAAGTCAGTGGGAAGATTTGTTCTAGTTCACGCTTTCCCTGAAGGTAAAATATTTTTAGGATTTCAATCTTATATAAGATCTCAGCTCCGATTCCTAACCCAGGACAAGCCTTGAGAATTAGGGCCCTGTGTGGTAAAACCCATTTGTTATTGAGACTGGCAAAACACACGAGTTACCTAGCTCAGGCTTACCACTCTGGTTTTTAGTTTCCTCTATATATTTGGCCCCCAGGGATTTCCTTTACTTCTTGTGTTCAGCTATGAATTTAAAATGATGTATGTTGTTTTTCATTCTGTATTTCTAGGTATTCTGTATTTCTAATGTTTTCAGGTTACCTAGTAAACAATACTGCTTGAAAAGGAAGTCCTGTTAAAGATGAGGAGAAGGTATCTTGTCCAAGTAATAAGCAGTCTGTATTGAACATATTTTTTAGTACAGTTGCTTTTACATCATTCTATGCTTTTTATGTTTCAGGCTTAATTAAATGATGATAAAGCTTAAAACCATACAAGTTGGAAGCTATATAATCTATAACCCAAAGAGGGATAATTTGTAATACACATTTTTGAGATGAGCAAAAACTTGGCACTGATCAATAGAAAATGGACTTTAGGCAAAACTTACAGACTCAAATGATAAAGGTAATATTCTGATAACTTAAAATGTGAACGTGTTTATATTATTGAAACTATATACATCTGACTCCATAATCAACAATATACTTTTTTTAATAGGACAATTTTTTTTTAAAAAGCACATAAAGCTTTTATGATTCTCTCAGTATAGCTCATTATAATATAATGAGTAATATAATTAGTAATATAACTAAAAACAGCTGGTTTTCTTCCAAAGGACTGTTACTTGGAAGATCTATTTCTCTTCTTGTTCTCAAGTCTCCTGGACTTAAGAATCCTCTTCACGTGAATGGGAAGAACCTACACACATTGTACCTTAAAAAATGTTGCCAAATGAGATACACAGCCATATAAACATTCTTTGTTATATAATATTAATTAATATTGTCTTCAAGAGAATTTAGAATGAATACACATGGATGGAGATATGCAAAAAAATCATGTTTGTACTTAACAGGCTCTGATTCCTCAAAATCTCCATGGTAGTTACTCTCTGATATATAGTGGCACTCTGTTTTGTTCTTAAAATTTCCCTTAATGAGGGCCGGCCGAGTGGCGCATTGGTTAAGAGCTGGCTTGGGACAACAGCTCTGAGCAGCAGGGCCCCGGTTCGGATCCCACATGAGGGCCAGTGATGCTGCGTCCTCTACAGCTAAGATGGTGAACAACAGCTTGACCTGGAGTTGGGCTGCCGTGAGTCGCCAGCAACGGCGTAGGCTGCAGCCCCTGCAGTGGGCTACCATAAGCTACCGTGTGTGGCCGGCAGCCAGCGTGAGTGGCTGGCAGCCGGCGTGAGCTGCCAGGAGCCACCGTGAGCAGCCGTCCAGAGGCCGGTGACCAATCTGCCTCACCCAGGAACAGTGAAATGGTAATAGCAACATGGACCAGTGAAGCAACGTCCTCTATAACTAGACTGAAGAACAAAAGGACAGCAACTTGTCTGTTCCCCTTCCCCGGATTCCCCAGCGCTGTTCCCTCCCCCAATTCCCCAATAAAATCTAAAAAAACAAAATTTCCCTTAATGAGTTTGTGTAGTCACTGATTGTATTAGTATCTAAATTTTACTATGACATTCAAGTTTACTATCCACAGTTACTAATCATACCTTCTCTTTCATGTTCTCAAAAGCTCCTCCCTGGGCCAGTACAGTATTAGACTGCAAATCAAAAATGAATCCTGATGAATCTGAAAGAATGAGAAGGAAAAAATATATTCAACAAGATCCAAAACTAACATGTGATAACATCCCCCAAATAGATGGGCTAATACCAGCTACTTTCCTCCCATAAACAGTTAACAACTTAGTTACTATTTTGCAAATTCTATTATATAGATAACTACATTTAAGTTAAAATTATAAAAAAATTTTGATTTTAACAGAAACTGTCACAGCTTGAGAAAAACACTAATTACATCAACTATATTAAGACAGTCCAGTAATCCTTGATACCTTTGCTAACTACCCTAATTTAAAAGGCCCTCTAAAAATGTTGCAAGTAAATGGTTCCCCCAAGTTAAATTTAACACTAACGAATAAGAAAATGTGAGGATGAGAGCTTCTGTGGCATTAATAACACACAAAATTTCCATCTTTTAGACTGTACCACATACATCATGTTTTTAAACTATGAACTCCATGAAAACATTCATGTATGTGTCCCAAACATAATGCTTGAGGAAACAATGTACCTGAGTCTACATTACCAGTAAAACATGGGAAAACTGAGTTAGTTTAATGTGATTGATTACAGAAAAGTTTGGCTTCCCTGAACTTGAAAAGGCTATCTGCAAATTTAATCAGTTTCTTTACCTGTGACTATGTGATCAATAAATTACCTCAGCTTTAACACTTGACAACTTTTAGTCTAATGAGATGCAATCCCAGGAAATGGTTAGAATGCTTCTTAAGTTCTGATATGTATTCTTATCTGGGGAATCTAAGTTAAAATGTAGGCTCTGATACAGTCGTGTAGGCTATATATAGCCTGAGATTTTTACTTCTAGGTGCTATCAATATTACTGACCCGTGAACCATACTTGAGAGTAGCTTTGGGGTTAGAATTTCAACAAAGGGAAATTTTTGACAAAAGGGGTTTCTATGGTCTGAATGTTTATGTCCCCCTAAAATTCATACGTCGAAATCCTAAAGTAATGGTATTAGTAGTTGGGGGTCTCTGGAAGGTAAATTAATCATGAGAGTGGAGCCCTTAAGAATTGAATTAGTGCTCTTTTAAAAGCGATTCCAGGGCTCCCTAGCCCTTTACCATGTGAAGACACAATGAGGAGTCTGCGAGCCAGAAGAGGGCCCTCACCCGACCATGCTGGCATCCTGACCTTAGACTGCCAGCCTCCAGAACTGTGATAAATTAATTTCTGTTGCTTACAAGCCACCCAGTCTGTGACATTTTGTCATAGCAACCCGAATGGACAGGGGTTTAAAAAATACAGCAATATTCTAGTATGTTTTCCAAATTCTTTTGCTATTATTACAGGTGTGTTTTAATTAAAGCCTCTTTGGCCGGCCGAGTGGCGCATTGGTTAAGAGCTGGCTTGGGACGCCAGAGGGCCCTGGTTCGGATCCCACATATGAGGACCAGTGACACTGCCCTCTACAGCCAAGATGCTGAACAACAGTTCAACCTGGAGCTGGGCTGCCGTGAGTCGATGGCGGCGGTGTAGGCTGCAGCCCCTGTGGCAGTGGGTTGCCATGGGCTACCGTGTGTAGCCAGCAGCCAGCGTGAGCGGCCAGCAGCCACTGTGAGTGGCCTTCCAGAAGCCAGCAACTGATATGCCTCGCCCGGGAAGAGCGCAATGATGGTGCCAACTTGGCCAGTGAAGCAACGTCCTCCACAACTAGACTGAAGAACAAAAAGGACAGCAACTTGTCTGTTTCCCATCCCCCAATTCCCCAAATAAAAATCTTTTTTAAAAAAATTTTAAAAATAAAGCCTGTTTTACAACTCACTCTTTATCCCGAGTTTTCAAATACCTTCTAGTTGCTGTGGGAAACTGATACTTTATGAATTAGAATGATAACACATTTTGGTACTAAAAGTAGAAAAGAGGATATGAATAGAGCCTATGTCATTCCAACAGAAACTATGCTTGCCAATTACCAATGAACTGTGAATTCATTTAGATTTAACCTCTGTAATACTGGCAGTTTTGAGACTGTTACCAAATGAAAAATCAGGTTGCACTTACACAAACTCAATATTTAAGACTGAGTTTTCCAGAGGACTACATAATATGGTTAACTCTCAATTATCTTTAATAATTGAAAAGACACAGTATATAAAGATGAAAACCCTGTTAGACCAAAATACTACCCAGCAACCATTTCAGAATTGCTGTAGGTGAGCCAAATGACACACACTTTGTATGTGTTAAGTACTCTCTCCCAAAGACGTATTAATGAGCAGTGAGATGATTCAAAGGAATTCAATAATCTTCTTAGAGAATCAAACTACCAATCTCTTTTGGGTAAAAGAGGGGACACAAAGTAAAGCAGCATTTTGGGGTCTGTATTTAAATAACTATTAGTATTACTAGCTTCTTATCACCTAACTGTTTTTTGGTGTCCCCCCTTTAACAACACACTAGATGAAACATAGTGCAAGGAAAACAGGGAAATTCTGCAAACACCTTCAGTTACTGATTCCCCCAAATTAGCATAAGTATTATTAGGGTTTATCTGGCATACCATTAGGATAATGATTAAAAATATATAAAGCAGCTATTTCAGTCAGGATCTCAGCAGAAAACAAATAGCACGCTCAAATTAGGAAACCTGAGGAGAGTTTAATAAAAAGACTATTTTTGAAGGTGCTAGTAGAGGGGTAGGGAGACCACAGATGTAGTGCAGTATACCTTGGCTAATAACAGCAATGTACACTGCTACCCTGAGGGTTTTTTGTTTGTTTGTTTTGTTTTTTAAGATTTTATTGGGGNCCTATTTGAATAGATAACAAATTTTCAAAACTCTGTAAATGACAGGATTTAGAATATAATTCACCATGTAGACATTACAAAGCTGAAAAGTTGTCTCTCTGTGGTACAGTTTGAAGCATTTATATGTGGATAAGCCAACTTTGTAGATAAAGATAAAATATAATATTTATCTACCCAACACATTTTAACCAGTTTCTAATGAGTTCTATTAACCTTTCTATATTCAACAGTGTCAAAGTTATATATACATTGATAGTTGGAATCACAGATCTAAAAAGTTTATAATGTGCCCAGAAATATATTTTTATTTTTTTATTTAAATTCTTCATCATCTCAATTTGATTTAAAATCTAAAAGCTTTCAAGGCTTGTGCCTTTATTTTGCTTGACTGAATATTCTCAGACTTGCTTTTCTGCAACCAGGCTGAGGGTTATTTTAGAAAGATGAAAAAGGACAGCTCACTAATTAAATTTAGCTCATGTGGAATAAATAATTCAATAAAGAGCTATAGGTTACAAGTGTCTTTTACATTCTATGTTTCATTTGTGTAGTGGAGTGGACCACCATGCTTAGATGTATGACACTCAAAGGGCTATTATCTCTATCTTTAATTATTGACTGATTATTTAAAATGACTATTATAGTTAAACTCAAGAAAAGCAAAGAGCTACCACCAGGCGATGCTAAGTACTTAAGAAAAAATGATCTTGTTTAAAGCTAGAGTCTGACAGATTTTAGTAAGAGCATTAAGTTGTGAAGATAAATGAAAATATTTCTTTCAAATGTCATGGCAGAGATGGCAGAGCTTTTTACTGTTGAGTCATACAGGAGAAAAAAATGGGGGAAATGGCACAAAAATGTTGCAGTAAAGCAAATAAAAGAACAGATTAATGGTAGCATAAAAGTCATTCTGGCAGTAGAGTTTGACATTCATTCACAAAAAGAATCCCAGATACTATAACAAGACTGTAGAGCATCTGAACTACTATTACTCCAACTGTGTGTACACAGAGTTAGGGGAACAGCTGGGTACTCACTGCCTGGAAAACAGTAAAAGGATTACCTCCTGACCTTCTCAGACCTAATCTATGGGAACAAAGAGATAATTTCTCCTCTTTAGCCAAAAACAAAGATTTTTTTTTTTCTCTGAAAGGTAGGCCTCTAACTTACCTAGCTTTCTGTTAGTAGAGAAGCGTGGAACATCTTCCATGCCCACATTTGAAAATTGAGATCTTGAGAGAGATTTAGCAGCATTTCTATTTTGTTGAGAATTCGGAGTAGAGTGCATAGTCAAAGACTTAGACTCAAAATCAGAGACACCATTTTCCAGCATGGATCCTGTCAAAGAAACAGGAGAGAATTTTAGCAAAATTTAAGGGTAAATCAATCATGCAGTCTTAAGTGTACACAAAGAGAAAATGTAAAAATGTTTTAAGCAAAACTATGCCTCTTAAATGGCTATAAAAAAAATCAACTGGGCCAG